AACATCATCTCTGCAGTGTCTGAGACTGAAGAATTATTTTCATCTCCTGTCTTTGCAGTCATCCACATCTGATCACATTCCCATTTATCTTCCCAGGAGAGAATGCACCGCTCTCAGACCTGCTTGAACTATGACTTCAGTTCCAAGAGACAGAACATGGACTGAACTGGGTGAAGACTATCTAAAGACTATCTAAACCTCTGTCTTAATACCTGCAAGGCATGCCAATATTAATATGGTAGGCAGCTCTTCCCATCAAAGTGAAGAGTATCTGTGAAGGGAGAAGAGAACTGCCCTTGGACATGTGGTGATGCCTCCAGTGGAAATATTACCCTTCCTCCAGCTTCACCAGTCAGTTCCTTATGGATAACTTCAGGGATACTTGAATTTCAGTGGCAGGGTCTGTGAGCACTTGTGAGCCTGAGTAGACATCCAAAGGCAGAATTGAAGTTAGGGTTCCTGGTTCCTTTTCAGTATGGAGTTCCCAGAAAAATACAACTGCCTCAAATTCCACTACACTGGTCCTCTGCACAGCACAGCAGATTCAGTGCAGTCAGAGTAAATTATATCTGTGTTTATCTGTTTCTTAGTCTTCAAAATAAACAATACATAAGCTGGAAGAGCTACTGCTTAGGGCAGTTAGTCATACTTGTGATTTCTAGCAGTTGCTGTGGCATATCAAGTATAGGGGATGAACATGACGTTCTGATGATAAGCTTTGAGCTACATGCTGTAGCTTATCAAATTTCAGTGACATGGAGCACATTTCTGTGTTGTTACTTATGGATGCTGTGCTATTCAAGTGCTGCAGAGTATTTTGCTAGAAATGATAGAATCGTAATCTGTAGAATAAACTAGGATATAATGCCTGTGATTTATGAATAGTTTTGCTGGAATAAAGATGCCTCATAACTAACATACTTAGAAAACAATACCCAGAATTTCTTGGAATGAAGTCTACTTGTCCCTCCCTTCCTTGTTTTGTATAGAATAATAAACTGCAAATCTTTGAGTTTTGTTTTGTTTTGCTTTGTTTATTTATTTATTTATATAACTCTGCAACTCTGCTCCTCTGGGAAACAGGGACTGTGCTGGGAACAAGGAAAGATGCTCCATAAATTAGGGTGAAACATGCCAGATGTTAAGATTTTATTCTGTGATCAACACACCAAGGAAGAGCGATGCTGTGCTATCACATTAGCAAGAGGACAAGATGAGAAAATCTAGGCTACATAGCTTGCCACAGCTGTGCAAAAAACCATAAAGGCTGTCACAAGATTAATCCGGTACCAAATTAAAGGACAGACTGTAAGTATTGGAGGCAATTTATTCTTTTCAGAATTTAAAATTGACTGAGAGGTAACTGCAAGTGTTGGAGGCGGGACAACTGTTCAAGAATTTGATTACGGATATTTGATGGCTACAAAGAGAGCTGTATGTTCTAACTGCTCACAGGAAAAAAAAAAAAAAAAAGGCATTAGTGTATTCCAAGCTTAAATATCACAATGTATTTTTAAGGGAATAAGGGCATGTCTAACAACTATAATGAATTTTTAGAATTAGATTATAAGTTTGGTGAATAAAAATAACGGCAAGTTACATGTAGTATCTACACTGTGTTCAGTGAAGAAAAATATGTTAAAAAGCCAACAAGCATTTAGATGGGGCCTGAGCTAGTTCAGATTTTAAACAGCTATGGGTAGTAAACTGGCATAGGCGTGATCTTTCTTGATTTTTTTTTTTTTGTAATTATTGAAAGGCAATTCAGAACATTCAGGCTGTAGAGAGAGGATCACAGAGTGAAGGTCACACAAAGAAAACAGGACTATATGCTAGAAATTTGTCATTTTGAAGAAGTTTTAAAGGGCAAAACTATCAGTAAAGGACATAACTGATGTTATGAAAGAGCTGTATCAGCCCTATGCCTTCCTTAAAAGGGAAATACTCAGGATCAGTTGATACATGACATTTAACTTTTAGGTAGTTGATGCTGGAATAATGCTTAAATTCTGATCTACCTTTAAAAAGAAGGAAATTTCCTTTACCGAAAGAAAAACATCACTAATAGATGCAATGTTCAAGATAATAAAACTTATCCAAAGAATGTTAATTGTAAATACACAACTGTAATAGAATATACCATGAAAATTATTTATTTATTTATTCTAACAGAGGAATGGTACTAAGAGCATCAAACTCAAACTGGAAGGGAGATAACATTTTCAGTAACAGTAGAGCAGAAGAGTGCTGAAACATGCTACAGTGGAGGAAGTGGATTCTCCTAATGCTACTGTGGACAAGAAGTATCTCTCAGAAAGCTATTCCACTTGCTTCCCAATAGTTTCCTGCAACCTCAACTTAATACTAATTTAATTTAAAAAATAACCAAATAAGAAAGTGATTTTTTTTTTTTTAAAAAGGTACAAATATAGTTCATTACTCAACCACTTTTTCATTGTTACATTTATCTGTAGATTTACATCTAATTTCTACTAATATGAATGAAATCAAACATGCATGGGTGGCTTATGTCAAAACTTCACTCTCTATTCTTGAATGTTTAAATTTTACCTTTAGTTTCATGTTGTAAGGTGGATACAATATGTTTTCCCTTACAATACCATTTCTTTTAAAACATGACAGATTGTGGAGCTCAGCATTGTTTGAGAGAAAAAGCAATTTATTTTTTTTAAGTGAAATTGAACCCTGAATTTGTTAGTACGCTTGTCCATCAACAGCATTGGAAAGCTCACTAGGGCAGCCTTTTTACAGATCCACAACTTTGAGAAATTTGATAATGTAGTATGGAAAAATGGTAAATACGTTCAAAGTTTGTTTCTTTATAACTAAGGTACAAATGTAACCCAACAACTTTATTCTTGCAACATAGTCCTACTTGTCATAAGTGGTACAGGCAAATCCCTCTGTTGCCTACCATTTAAACCACCTGAGATATGTAAGAACTGCAAGGTTCTTAACTCTGTAATAATATTCCTTTTCAAAATTGTATTTTTTTGGGGTGTGTGGGAGGGTGGTCTATTATGACTAAGCTACAGTGAAGAGTTTTTTTTTTGTTTGTTTGCTTGCAGTTGCTTTGATTTGGCTGCTAAAACCCAGGCAGCTACTGAATACATAAATTTAAAGATCTGGCAAGTAAGAAGGACTGGTAGAATGACTCTCTGCAGAATTTGTGCTTTAATTGTAAATGTAGTCTCTAGCTGTGTTTCACTAAATCCTGGGCTGACACCACAGCTGCTGAGCCAGAAGACAGCAGATGCTGCAGATGAAGCTCCATCCTCACTGTGGTCAGCTGCAATGCAAATGTATGCTGCTCACGACTACCCTCAGCTCAATTCCTTTGCCTTTTACAAATTCCCACCACTAGCTCTGTAAGCAGGAAGACATACTAATGATTTGCATGAAGAGACAAAATGAAACGACAGGAGCAATGGGGAAAAGACCCTTAAAAAAAAATATTACACACTTCTATCTTCACTGGGAGTTTGTGCACCTGCAGAGATCCACAGCTTACCTGGAAAGAGCACTACATAATCACCAATTCTACATTTTCACCAGTAAGTGTTAGAAACTGACATTAAGAGTCTTGAGAAGACACAATTCTGATTCACAAGTCCAGCCATGATGTTGTTTTGTTTGGTCTCTGCTGTATATGGTACCAAAGACAGCTCTAATCTTTCCTTAAAGGACGAAAGCATAGGAGATGAGGTAGAAGCTACATGAGGTTTCCTTCTTTAAGAGGGAATTTGAGCACTAAATTTTATTTAAGCCTAATAAATAAAAACAAAAAGTCTGAGTCATGCTGCCCTTTCAGCATCAATGGATTAACAGGAGAAGGCAGGTTCCTGACTTTCCATTGTGTTTATTGAATTTTCTAATTATGATGATACATAAGCATTGGTTTAATACTTTTGAGATGCAGATGACAACATCGAGAGCTTTTACAACTGTTTATGGAGAGAGACAGCCCTGTCCAAGATCACAGTCCCACCTGAAGGGAGACAGATGAAATACAGTGGTTTCACTGATGCCCTTACTTGCACATGAGCTGTATTCAAGTGGAAAAAGACAAATAGATGTGAACTATATGGAAAATCCGATGCTAAAGGGTAAATGCCAGTGAGTCCTAGCAAGGACCCACTGTAACACTTGAGGGCAGGTAGCACAGCAGGCCAATAGCTTTGTTGGATCGGTGTGTGAGGCGGCTCAAGGACACTGCCCAATTGCCATGATGAATAAAAGCCACAAAGATGTTAGACACTGGAACAGGCTGCCCAGGGAAGTGGTGGAGTCACCATCCCTGGAAGTCTTTAAAAGACGTTTAGATGTAGAGCTTAGGGATATGGTTTAGTGGGGACTGTTAGCGTTAGGTCAGAGGTTGGACTCAATGATCTTGAGGTCTCTTCCAACCTAGAAATTCTGTGTGATTCTGTGATGGAGAAGGAACTAGAGCACCTGTTGTATGAGGAGAGGCTGAGGCTGCTTAGCGTAGAGAAGGCTCAGAGGCTTCTCACCCATGTGTATAAACACCTGGTAGAGGAATTAGGGAGCTAATTCTCCTCAGTGGTATCCACTGACAGGGTCTTCAAAAGACGTTTAGATGTAGAGCTTAGGGATATGGTTTAGTGGAGGACTGGTTAGTGTTAGGTCAGAGGTCGGACTTGGTGATCTTGGAGGTCTCTTCCAACCTAGATGATTCTGTGCTATGAGGGAAGGGGCACAAACTGCTCCGATAACTACAAGCAGCTGAGGGCAGGCATCGAGTTCACGCTGATTTCTCAGAGGTCTCCCCCCTTTGGGCTAACAGCAAATGGCCGCCGCCCCCTCAGCGCCCACACGGCGCCGGAGCCTCCCCAGCAGCAGCAGCGGCAGCAGTAGCACCACTAGCAGTACCAGCAGCACCGCCAGGCGCCGCCGCTCCCGCCCGCACCGCCCATTGGCCGTGGCGGGGGCCGCGGCTGCTGCTGATTCATTGGCTGCGCTGCGCTGCGCTGTGCCCTGCTGGGCTGTGCCGGGCTGTGCCGGGCTGTGCTGGGCTGTGCCGGGCGGGGCGGCGCCCGGCCAGGTAAGGGCGGCGGCGGTTGTGGCGGTTGTGGCGGTTGTGGCGGTTGGACCTTGGCGCTGCCCCGCCCCGCCCTGAGGGGCTGCGGGGCTCGCGTGGGCTGTTCGTAAACGGGGCTGAGGGGCTGGGGGAGGTGGTGCCTGCGGAAAGGGGGCTTGTGGCTCGTCTCGGTGTGTAGCTGAGGGGTTCCCTCTGGTGCTCCGGGGCACGAGTCTCCCAAAGCAGCCCAGCCAGCCCTTACCACCCCGCTGTGGCACATCGAGAAGGCGTTAAAACTTTTTATTCCCTCCCCGGGGCTGTGCGTTTGAGCGAACTTTAAAATCCAACCTAAAAACACTTGCAAAAAAAAAAAAACAAACAACATATATATATATTTCTTGTTCTTTTTTTGTCCAGGTGACGTGTGGCTCTCTGCAGTGGATGGCTTTACCCATTCTCAGCCTTGCCCTCCTCCCTCCCCAGAGGATCCTGGCGCTTAATTCCACCATCCCTCAGCATCCCTCAGTGGCCCCTCCGGCCAGCAGCGGCTGCTGGCGGTGGCAGGATCAGGTCCCTGTGCTCAGCTGCCTGCCCTTCCCTTGGCTGGAGCTGATCCCCTCCGAGACCAGCTGGCAGAGCTTCCCTCCGATCCCCCATGGTTGCCTTGCTCGTCCTGACGTGTCCGCAACAGTAGGTGCTCGCAGTGCCGGGTGGTGGCTGGGTGTGTGGGTGACAGGGTGTGTGGCAAACTTGTTTGGCACAACATGAGGGCACTTCTGTTTCCAGTTGTGTTCTCCAACCTGCCACTTTTCTCTCTGCGCTTTTCTGTTTTTCCTCCTTCGAGCTCCTCAGAGATGCAGATTTGCGTAACCGGTGTGGAAATAAATAGATGTTTTGGCTTCCGCTCTCAGATAATCAGGCAATTGCCTCAAATGCTGCTTGTTTTTCTTGTCCATTTGCCTATTTCCTATTCAGGTTCTTAATCAGAGAGTTAAGGTAAGTTCTTGCTATAGGAGTAAATACCTGGCGAGATGCCAGTGAGATGGTAACTCCCTGTTGACTGAGGGCAGTCTGGCTCCCTTCTTGCCTAAAATAATGAAACATTCTGGCTGCATCAATCAGGAGAAAAGATGTTTAGAATCAAGCTGTTGCCAGAGAATTCATTTTCTGAAGAAATAAAATCCAGAGTGTTAAGAGCTGTCAAAGTTGTTTATTGCTGTGCTTATTCTTTCACAGTTCGTGTACACATTGTGGTGGAAAAGGTTATAAGGTGAAGCCCAGATGATGCTCTTGCAGCTTGTTAAACTGTTTAAATCAAATTTCCAATCTTAAAGCCAATAGTGTGAGCAAAATTTTAGTACATATGGGGCTTTATTCTGTGTGCTTGCTCCAATGAGCTTCAGTTTGGTTGTGCTGTTGTTAACACTGCTTCCTTGGTCCCTTGTTGCGTGTTTATTGCCTGGTGTAGCACAGAGACATGGTAGGGATTAAGGATGAGAGTGTTCGGATGTGCATTTATGAGTAGTGTATTGCTGTCCGATTGTATTGCTGGGAAGAAATTTGAAATAAATTGTTTGCTTCTTTCACAGCAGTATAGAGAATTAGATCTAAAGGCAGGAAAAAAAAAAAAAAAGTTCTGTTTTGGAAAAGTCCTAAACCAGTTTGCTTTTTAGTAAAGATCCATTTCAGTAGCTATTCAAAGTTTTTTTGCTGAACTGATTGTGTTGTACATGAACTGCAAGAGCTCAGAAATCCTTTATCCGTGCAGTGTGGAAGTTTTCAGGAAAAGCTGTATGTTTTATTTTTTTCTTGAGAAAACATAATATACAGCTGACTCTTCAAACTGAAAAGCTCAAGAATTACTTCGCATGTGAGAGAGATTATGATTTTACAGACCCTGTGGGTGTGATCTTAACCCATAGACATTTTTCCACCTCAGTGCGGCCAAATCTCAGCTGTGAGATATCCAAGAGTGGTTCCAACTCTGAGCGAGTGGTTTATCATACCTGTTTGGTTCGGCTCTGCCAGTTTATCTTCTGCTGCCTTGAAGGCAGACAGAAGCTGTGCAGGGGAAATCTGTTTCTGTGGATAGAATAGCTGAGCAGTGAAGTGCATGGCTGTGCTTCACACCCGACGGGTGCTGTGTGAAGGTCAGGGGGGCTTGTTTTGTTACGGAGGAGGGGGGATGGCCTCAGTTTCCACTCTGCTTCTCAGCTGCGGTATTCTGGCTTTTCCATTGCTGCAAAGCTGACAGAGAGCTGCAAAATGAGGGGTGAGCACACTTCTGTTTCCTTAGATGTGCAGCCCTACATGCAGCAGTGCTGTGTCTCGGCAAAGGGGCCGAGTCCCTTAATTAGTGCTGAGTTCCCTGATGCAGTGATGCGAAAACGGTTAGTGCTTTTAGCCTCACCCCTGCTAAGAACAGTCAGGGTAGATGTGGTTGTTTGAAATCCTCCCTGATGCCTCTATTCTTGGATTCAGTTGCTCCTTTGGCCACAATCAGCATCAGGTTTGCAGTTTCCTTGTGATTTGCAAACTAGCCCATTAGAATAAATCTGTAGTCTAGTAACCCTATGAATAGGGTTATGTGCATTGACAGAAATTCTCTTTACAGAGAGATTTTTTTCTTTCCTGTTAAATGTAATGTCATCTTTGGGTTATAAAAATTAAAACATTTGTTCTAGCCCTACTACTGAAGTTGCCTTCTTATTATAATTTATTATTATCAGTTCTCGCATAATAACACACAGCTATAAGAGTTATTTTTAAAATGCTTTTTCTAGCTCCTTGCAGCTGACCTGAGGTGGGCTGATCAGTAAGAATATGGAAAATGGGGAATCTTTCCTTTCTCCCTACTCAGAATAAGGCATTGGAGTAACAGATTTTGGGGTTAGCAAGGAATCCAAAAGATCTCCATTTCAGCACTGAGCTTGTTGTGGTAATAGAGCTAGTAAAAAACATCTAGTAAAGGGTAGCTTTTGCACTTTAAAGCTGCCCAGAGATGAGAACCTGTTATTCAGATATAGTTTTCTCCATTTATTTCCTCTTTGCTTAGGAGGAGGTTTGGTTTTGTTCTCTCCGATGACTACATCAGCTGTCAAATTGAGTGTTTTTTATAGAGACTTATTATTTGGGTGGAAGTGTGAATGCTCATAATACTCCATTTGGACTTTTGGGATGGCAAAACCTGATATATTTTCAGGATTCAAAGTTGAGCTCTGAAGATTGATTGCATAATTTTGTTGTAGCTGCAGAAAACAAATGGAATTATGTCTAGTATCTCTCTATTGTTTGTAGTTAATACTGTCTTAGGACTGCATATTTTGCCTGTAATTTTAAAGGCTTTTGATACTGGAGTTGAACTAAGCTTGTTGCTTCAGTGTGTGTTTTGGGAGCCAGTTCCAGTAGCTCTGTACTAATTGACAGTTCCCTGTCCCTTTATTGTCAGCTCAGGTTTGAAACTCCTTCTATTCTGAAGGAATATATAACTTTTGTGATGTCCCATTAGGTATAATTCAGCCTTCTTCTTAGACAAGACTTAAAAGTGAGCATACACAGTGTTTCTTTGTCTTTTTTCAAATCAATGTAGTTGTCTGCGAACTCATAGTACAATGTGATTTCCTATTAGTTTCTGCCAAGCTTCAGGTGGCCCCATCTGAGTTGAACTACTAAGCAGGCATCAGTGTTTGTATATATGATTGACATTTTAGGAAAGTACTTGGCAAATTATTTTGGTCTTTTACTTGTTAATTTTGACTTTAAATTCATGAAGTTATTGCTTTTAAACTAGGCACAAGCAGTAGCCATACGATTAGCATGCAAAATTATACATAATGGTGTGGAGACCTACGCTGCAGCAAAACAGCATAAGACATTAAGTGCTAGTTCGTGGAAAATAAGACGTTTTCGTGAGAATTCATATGCATGTTGGATAAGCAGGTGCTAGAGTCTAGTTTACATTTGCAAGGATATTAAAATGTATGTTACGTGATGTATAATACAGGAGCATGCTGCACAGCTGCCTGTGATTTTTCATTTCTTGTCCTTAGTTCCCTTAGACTAATTTAGTGTTTTTTCCGTACCATTGTTATAAAGCCCTTTTGTGATGAGTCTAAAATTATTCTTGTTGTAGTGCAATAGCTCATGCAGATGATGCTGTTCTGAGTTGCTAATATTGGTACTTTCTTTTCTTTCCAAGAAAAGTCCCAGGTGCTATGTACTCAAAGTTAGCATGTATGATTGATTCTAATTGTACGGTCAGTTTTCAATTATCTTGCTATTTTTCCTGCTAAATTTTGCTTTTATATTGCTTGATTTGCTCTATTATTGCAGGTGAGAAGATTGGGTATACCCTGTACAAGACCTCAAGCTGGATCTCAAACCCCGTACATCTAGGATCTTGAGAACTGGAAAGAAGCAAGGACCATTGGGCTAAGTATCTGCTGCAGACTCCTTTCTCATCAGTACTCAGAAGTGGCACAGCTTGTTCGAAGCAATAGCTGTGTGGTACGGTTGTAGAAAGATGAGATCTCTATTACGTTTTAGCTCCTGCAGTGCAGAGTAAACAGATTTGTGCTTGCTTTCCTCATTCACTTCTTCCTCTGTGACTGCCTCAGGATGGAGTAAAAAGCAATGCAGTGGTGTGATGGCTGCTTCCCTTGTCCCCAGCAAGCAGAATATTGTTGGTAGTATGGGGACTGAGGGGGGCACAGAAACAGCCTGAGTTTGTTACCTTTTTGTAGCCAGTGCTTCTGGTTTCATTGTACTGCGTAGCCGGTGGAGCTGATACATCAGGATGCAGTGCTAAGCTTTCTCAGACTTACCACAGTTTGAAATGCTGCTGATTTCTGTTCCTGCCTGGCATTTGGGATCTTCACTGTTTGCAGGGGACCAACAATTTGTTTGGTCTATGAAGTCTGTAAAGTGTTTGATCTCTACAGAAGTAAGCAGAATGGTAAAGTGGAAAATTAATGTAGTTTTTGATTGAAAACATACCTCCTTGCTTGCATCTACAGTATTGGTAGTTTATCTTGCTTCAGAAATGAACACTACTTTGACCAGTCCACATGGATTTACTCTTGTGCACGCAGATCAGATTTGGAGGTGGCTGTTGCTGGTGACATCCAAGACCAGTTCCAGATGCACACAAAAACGGATTTGCCCTGGTGGCCCCAGTGGCAGTGTGAACCGCAGAGCTGTGCTTCAGATATGGCGTGTGCCCAGCTTTGCCCTTAGAGCAACTGGGTGGCAGTCTGAGAGGTAAGTGGCTGTGCAGAGCAAATGTGCTGATGACATCCAGAGTGTTTCAAATAGCCGAACCGTAGTGGTGTCTGCACCCCACTGCTGCAATTCAGAGACGTGGATTTTGTGCAGACTCGGTGCTGCAGAGTCAAACTGCCTTGCACATGTACCACTGGTAGGCAGCTGTGACCCTACAGACTTTCACAAAGGTTAAGAATGAGTTCTCATGAAGGTGTAATTCAGCTCCAGGAGTTGCAGTCGAGTCTCCTTGACTGCAAAATGAAGCTTTTTACTTTATGATAATATGAGCAAAATAAATATGAGCATAATAAATATGAGCAAAATAAAGCTTTTTACTGCTCATTTACTTGTTTCTGAAAGAAAAAGAGCCAGTGTGAGCCGTATACATCAGAGTCAACAGGCAAGTAGAATAGAAGGCTTATTTTAATGTGTTTCAGGCCAAGGTTTTAGAGACATTTGGGCAGACAGCTTACAAGTGAGGTGCATGCTAGGTTGGGACAATGCTTATGCTTAGCTCTACTGCATCACGTAAAGGCGTGCTTTATGTCCTGCACAGCCTGAGTAACAGATCAGGCAAGGAGCCAGTGGCCAAAGTTTCAGTAAGCACCTGTCCCTCTGATAGTGACTGATCCACAACTGAAGTAAGTGTAGAAATGCTTGTAGCCTATCACCACTGGCTGGAATTTTGAGTCTGAACCTACACCTAAACCAGGACAAATTCTCTTATGACCTATGAGGAGAAGAGTCACAAGTAGACACTAGTGACTAGGCTGCGGGGAGAGATCTGCATGACACCCAGTTAACAGCATGCATCTGAAACGGGAGGGTCAGGCTGGTTATTAGGAAAAGGTTCTTCACTGAGAGCATGGTTGGGTACTGGGATAGGTTCCCCAGGGCAGTGGTCACAGCACTGAGCCTGTGGACAATGCGCTCAGACACAGTTTTATTTATTTGTTGTTGTTGGTTTTTTTTTTGTTTGTTTTTTTTTTATGTGGTCCTGTGCAGAACCAGGAGTTGGACTCCATGATCCTTGTGGGTTCCTTCCAACTCAGGATATTCTATGATTCTATCACTTTGCATTTGAGGTAGATGAAGAAACAGTTTTCGGACTGTTCATATATCTTATTCAGAAGTTTTCTGCCTGTGGATTTACGATAATGCTAAAAGAGGCAGTGACAATGAACACTAAAGCCATACAAGAAATATCTAAGAGGCTCCTCTAGAAGGCTGCAAAAGAGAAAAGCAGGATTAGACAGGAACATGCTGATAAAATCTGACAGGAGATGCATCATCAAGTAAACACTGAGGAGAAGGGAAAAAGATGATGGGAACCCTCAGGGGTCAGTCATAAAAATGAAATGCAGAAGCTTGTAAGAGACAGCTGACAGAGCTGTGCTGGTGGGAGCAAACTAGGACAAAAATTGTAGTTTTTCCTCTGTGCCATTTGCTTTTTCCAGAAGGCAGCAGTTACCTCAGTTGATTTTAGAAAACAAGAAAAACTGTCTAAAGCTTAATTAGACATTCTCTCTTATTCCAGGAAATAAGGAAAGTTTTCAAGTCCCTGAGAAAGCAGAGGAGGAACTTTACTATTAACACAAGCACTTTTTAAATTACTTTTTCCTGTTGTGTTCCTTCAGACCCTTAAGGAAGTAGAGGATGGGAAACATCCTGAGCTGTGAACTGAATTGTACATTCCAGACCCTAAAGCATCTTTTTCCTCACCTTCTGTGCTTTAGGCTATTTAGTCTAATTGGGAGCTTTGTGAGTGGATGAAGAAGGGTGAGGGTAATGAAGCACCTTATCCTTACTCAAGCAAATGTCATCCTCTCCAGCCTTCCACTCCACCATGAGTGAATGGCTAATCCTGAAAATTAAGCTGGTTTGAGTTTGAAAAATGTATCCATTTCTTGTTCTAAATGATTTATCACTTTTTACAGAAATGTAATGTTGTTTTTTTATGAACTTGAAAGGCTGGTCGTACTTCTGGAGTGAATTTGTGTTTCTCACTTTGCTTGATTTCCTGGTCTTTATGCATGGCCACCCTAGCATTTGAAGTGTCCTATACTTGCATACGGTCTTACTGAATCTAACAGAAGAGTGAAGTTTCAGCTATTTTGAGTGACATGGCTACTTAGGGTCCTTTCCCCCCTCCTTCCAATAAGTTTTACCTGGATTTGACTTTGTACAATGAGAAGTTTCATTGTCCAAAGAACAGCTAATTGCAATAGTTTTGCAAACCACATGAAGTCTTCACCCTGCTGGGTTTGAATTGAATATGGAATTACCCAAGTTCAATTTACTTTTTGAAAAGCTCTGAACAGTTTCTTATGGAATGCTATTCCATAGTAAACCTCAGGTTAGATGTTCTGATTCCAGTTGCTGCAGCAGATGTTTTGTGCAGAGATGTGCTCTCTTTCGGTGTGTGTAGAATTGTCTAATCCTGAAAAATTACTCTGCAAAACACAAATCCCTAGTGCGATGTTGGAATGACAGAATATCTATCAGGCTAACTTTAATACTCAGTAATGTTGCCCTACAGGTTTTGTTGATCTGCGGGGAAAATCACTCCTGTCTTATTTTCCTCCTGCAGTGGCATATTGAAACTTTTAGTACAGAAAAATCTAGGTTGGAAGAGACCTCTGGTGGTCATCTGGTCTAACCTCCTGCTCAAAGCATGTTCAGCTAGATCACGTAAGTATTTTTGTCCGTCTAATTGAAATTTCCCATGTCTCAACTTGTGTCTGTTGCCTAATGTCCTGTTGTTGTCCACCTCTGAGAAGGGTCTGGCCCAGTTTCTCTATGCTCTCTGACTAACTTAGACCTCAGAGCCATCTGCAGTCACCTCTGAGCCTTCTCCAGGCTGAACAAACCCAGTTCCCTCAGCCTCTTGTGAAGACACCAAACCCAGATGTGGTACCACAGACACCATCTCACCAGCACTGAATAGAGAAGAAATGCTTCTCTTGATGTGCTAGCTACGCTCTTGTTAATTCAGGTCACTGCATGGTTGGCTTTCTTTACCCCAAGGGCATGCTGGTGACTTGTGTTGGTGGGGGCACCCTCAGGTCCTTTCCTGCTGAGCTGCTCCCCAGCAGTCAGCTGGGTTCCTATCAGCTGAATTCTCCAGCTTGTCATGGTCCTGAATAGCAGGATCTGCCCTCCAGTCTTTGCACTGTTCCCCCTCCCCATTAATCTGTGAACTTGCTGCCAGTGCACTCTGTCTCATTATCCAGCTCTTTAAGAAAGATTTAAAACAGTATTAGTCCAGCATCAGTACCTAAAGGGACTGGTAACCACTGGTAACCAGCTGCCAGTTGGACTTTGAGTGATCCAACCCTTTGAGCCTGGCATTCTAGCTTGTTCTGTCCCCAGATTTTCATGGCTGCATTCCTCCTAAGCTGCTGAGGATGATGGTCTTTAGTATTTACTATTTTTTTCAGCTATGAAAGCCCCATTTTGAGGAGCCTGGTTTTAATACTTTGTACGCTTACAAGCATCTTTGTGGAGGTGAGCGTGTATTTTCTCTTTCCATTAAAGACAAGCTGTGCTGGCTGGTGGCTGCCCAGCATAGACTGAGGAAAGGGTGAGAGGGCTTGTGATAGCCTCACCTGATGGGCAGTGATACTGGATTTAATGGTGGGAACATCTTTGTAAGCGTGAGCGGTTGTTTCATCTTGGGAACAGTGACAAGAGAGAATCTCCCAAGTAAGAAAAGATGCTGGGTGAAATCAAAAAATGTGTTGGAAAAATACATTCTGTACTAACGCATTTTGTATCCACAGGGACATATTTATTGTAGTGCAAGATGTCTGCCCTGAGGTTGATTTCTAACAGAACCTCCCAGCAGGCCATGTCTAACTCTGATTACACCTGGGAGTACGAGTACTACGAGTACGGGCCAGTGTCGTTTGAAGGCCTGAAGGCCCATAAATGTAAGTTCACTACAGATGTATTTCATTTCAGCTGAGCTTCCCCATCTTATTCACTGCCCTTCACTTATAGCTGATTATTTTACAAAAGTCTCTCTGAACTTTCTGATTACTCAACAATTAGTTATTAGCCTCTTTACTGAATTATTATAATTGTTTCTTTTTCTGTCTTTTTGTTGGCTGTTTTCATTATGTGTAGGAGCACCATGGATTTCTTGAGTGTAGTAGGAATTTCTCAGTACTAAGGAATAGCAGACTACTAAGAACTGTTTATAACAGCAGGTGCAGCCCCTGCTGCTTCTGGTGCCTGCTTGCTGCAATCCATGTTCTGTTCTTGTTCCCGGTGATGTGAAAAGGGCATTGGTGGGCAGCCTTACTGCTTTTGTTTTTCTTTCATAAAAATGAGTGTAAAGCTTTCAAGAGACTTGAAAGAAGAATTTTCTTTTTTGAAGAAACTTTTATCATTAGGATTTTCTTCCTAGAATGCTTGTGTTAATGTAGCATTGTAATAATGCTGGAGCTGTTTAATTACAGTACAAGTAGAAAGTGGAGGGTAGAGATCAGAGAGAAAAAATTATCAGAGAGAAAATTATCTCCAAGAGGAGATTTAGCTGGGACAAGCTAGTGCAACCAGGCCAATATTTATTGGACAATAAGTTTGGTTACAGTAACTTTGACTTCTAGATTTTTTATTTTTTTTCAGGGGGGAGGAGGGTGAAGGAGAGACAGGGGAAGTTTTTTTTGTTTGTTTTTCTTTAAAAAAGGAACAAACTAACTCGAAACTCTGGGATGTGTTCTGCAAGCATTTTTACAAAAAGAAGCAAGCCGTCTTGTGCCACTGTTTCTTAGCTGAATATTCTGTGCAAATGTTTGAGCACTGGTTTTTGAAGTAGTGAGGCAGGGTCCCCATCCAGTACTGGGGTGCTGGTCCAGGGTGGGATCCATGCTCATTCATTGTAATGAGGATTTGGACTGGGAAGGAGGAGTGCTTGCAGTGGCAATCAGTAGCCCAGGAAGGCTGATCTGCTTTGCTTCTTGCTTTGGGGAGGCACTGGGAGAATCAGAACTCAGACGTTCCTACAACTTCTAAAAGACAAAAGCTAGACCAGAAGCTACTGTTTGGCCTGAATTGTGCTTTTCCTTTATTTATTTATTTATTTTTAACAGAAGTCTGCTGATTATTCTGTGTTTTTACAAATGTTAGGTACTTGAAAAATGTAGGTTAGTTTTTATCATGTTTCCAATTTATATTCCTTTTTTCCACTTAGAGACCAAACCTGATTACAGAGATCACTGATTAGGAAGATGAGCTGCTGTTTGTGTGCTCACCATCTTCTTAGCTCTGTGTGTCAGTGTGATGGGAGAACAAATATAAATGGTAGTTGCCTCTGAACTGCTGGAGGGCTAGTGGCAAAGCGAATCTCAGATTGCCATTGAGCTGCTTGCCATGCTGGGTGTGGAACCTCGACTTTGCTGTCTGGCTGTGCTGCTCGTAGAGCAGGAGGGCTCAGGATGACACTTGTTAGTGAATGGGACAGAGGAAACACCACCTTTTCAGGTGGAGCTTGCTGTATCTGTGAAAGAGAGGGGCTAATAGCAGTATTAAATAAGTTACTTAGGAAGTCCCTTCTCCTTTTGTGTTTTATCCCACTTTTTTAACTGATAGATTGGAGTTGCCTCTCTTTACTTTAGTGTTACTGCATTTTCAGTGGGTTGATTTTAATCTAGTAAAGGAACAGTCTATGTCTTTTGCATATGCAATGATATTTCAATAAATACCTTGTTCTAGGTAACTCCAGCTGAGTTGGGCCTGTTGAAGATTGTGGAGGCAACGTGGTCAAACGTTTAGTCACTGCAATCTGAATGTGTGAGAGGAGGTTATGTTAGGGCAACATTGTCATGGAGACCTTGAATACTTGACAAGTCCTCACTTTATTTGCTAGCTCTCTTTGTTCTTTTTTTTTTTTTTTAGCCACGTAAGAAATGTTAAATCCTTTTTATTTATTTATTTTTTTTTGCACAGATGTATGCGACTAATTTTCAGCTTTTGCTAACAAAGAATTTTAAATTCTGTAGAGGCAAGCATCATAAATGGTGAGGTTGGGGCTTTGTAGGTGTAATCCCACTTGGAAGTACTCCATCTTCCTCAGCTTTGCTATTTGAAGATTTTTGTAGTAAAGATAAAATCAAAATCAGTGATAAAAGAACTGATGTGAAAGCAATGAGGCTCTGCTTTGGTGATCTGGTTTACAACGTAAAGTTAAAATGGTGCTGTTGGCTTATCTGTATGTTGTACAGGGAGCTGTAAGAAAAGCAAAGGAATAAACATCCTGAACTGTTGATGGGGAGGTGTGAGATGCAGGGAGAAAGTGTCTGTGGTGCCACTCCATGTGGAAAACACCTGCTCATCTGGTTAGAGCACTGAAAAACAGAAGTGTCTGAGAATGGTCCATCTTATTACTCTGCACTGAGAACAGGAAGGACCTTTATGGTACAACAGTCTTTGAATGCTGGTATATGCATGAATATAAATTCCACCAAAATCCAGAAATGAGTCTACAAGAAAAGAAGTCAGTCCAACTGGAGAGGGCACGTACGTCTATATTTTAACTTACGTTAAAAACTTGGAGTGGATTCCAGTTCAGGTGATGCAGGCTGGCAGCAGCACACTGCCAGCTGTAAAACATCTGTCTCCTCTTAAACTTAGAGGTGATTTCTTTGAATTTCTGATGTACCAAGGTATTTCACCCAATGTGAGGGAGCACCATGTTGGACTATAACGTAAGATGAATTCTACAAGAGAGAGTCGGAGGCTGCTCTGGATTTAGTGTTGATTTAGTTACAGTCAAATGGAGATTCCTAATAATTCAGCATACCAGGAAAAGAAATTCAGAAGCCTGTTCTCTGAAAGCAGAGAAAAAGTTATGTGAAGTGATTTGTAGAGAAAAATGCTTAGAAAACAATCTAATACACAGAAATCATTTAATAATAAAAAAATAGTAAAAAAAAAAAATAATAAAAAAACAAAAGGGGGGGGCTGTTTAAATGCCAAATGACCTGTCAAATATGAAAAAATCTGTTTCAAAAGCTGAAAGCACGTTCTGCCTGAGCAGAAGTGAAGGCAGAAACTAGAAATCAGAAAATCCAGAAAAGTAGGCACCAGATGTTTTATAAATTAAAAGTTTCTAAAGTAAATAGACAAAGATAACCAGGAGTTATCTGTGACTGGCAGAGATACAAACAATTTTTTGTGCATTTGGAACAGAAGCAGCCTTGGTAACATCAGAGAGAGGTAAAATAGGTAGGAGTGATCAGAGGATTATGAATTTGTGTTAGGAAGGCTGATACTAAATGCTAGAAAGGTGATGGGATGCTTTCCTAATCTGTTTGGAACTTGGCTGGTATTGTAAATGTAGTCTTAGCATGTATTTTGAATACGAGTAGTTTGACGTGCCATTTATGTTGAATAAATGTTTAGAAATTAATAGGTTTGAATAATTGAGTGAGACTGAAATGAAATACTAAAGAGATTTCTGGCCTGCTGCTTTAATTTTAAAGAAACCCAAAGAACGTCATTGATGCAGCAGAGGGTTAGAAGTGTCAACAGCCACAGTGAAGCAAGATGTAGCTTTATGCTCAGTAAGCGTAGGAGTTCTCTTCCAGGGGGCAAAACACCAAACAAACCCTGAGGAAGGCTTGCTAATCATGAATTATGGGAGCACACAATGCCAGCAGATGTGATTTTTGTGGGAAGTAGTAATTTGTCAATAAAGAAAAGTCAAGATTGTACGATATATTCATTTTTTCAACTTGATCAATATGATCTATGCATGTATTTCTAAAGCATCCTATTTGATCATATTTTGTTCTGCTCACCAATGCAGTTGGTTAAGTGGTGAATTGCTTAATGGGGATATTTCTTTTCAGATCAAATTTGCAGGTACTGCAAAGTCTAAGATGATAAATAACCATGAACTATCTTGTATTAATAAGGTGAAATGCCTGATGAATCTTGAAACACCGAGTACAGGCTATACATACAGAATGATTCTGAAAATAATTTAGGGCTCACAACACACAGAATTGCAAAAATAAACTCTTACCAGTATGGCTGAAGCTAAAAGGAATATTCCGAGCTTTTGAAAGATTACAGAGCATCAGTAGGGGGTGATTTTTTCCCCCCGTTTTCTACTTATCATGAAGACCTATACTTGAACTACCTTTGGTTATTTTAAAGAATGTTGAGGAGAGATGGAAAAAAGCTTGCAGTGAGAGACTTGAAACTTAACCTCCTTAGTTTACCAGAAAATGGGATTAAGGAGTGACTTGATTATGATTGAGTATTTTTACAGGGAGAAAATGTCGAGTTGCAGCAGGCACTTTTTCTTCACACAGAAAGAGCAAATGGTTACAATTGATTTCTAGTTTCCAGATCTGCCTTCAACGTGGAAGATGTTTCGCAGTGGGAGTGTGATGAACCACTGGGGCCAAGTACCAGGCAGGAGTGCCGGTTCCTTGTTTTCTGGTGTCCTTAGTCAGTCCCATAGGAAACTGAGTGTTTGAGGTACTGGTAAATGTTTTGCACTGTTCCTGCTGGATTGGCTAAAAATAACCAACTGCAAGGACAGGTGAAAAACCACCTGCAGACTGCAGGTCCTGGCCCAAGTCATGTTTTGACTTGGTGCTCTGTAGCTCTGGGCTGTGGTTACCAATTGTTTGGGACTACTTGTCCCACTTGTACCACTGAAAGACAGCTAAGCCTGTCGTGCCAAAGAGATCTGTCAAAACCTGGAACCCCAGTGGTGTCAGGCAGAAATCATTCAAAGTAGCAGGAATTCTGTGCTATATAGGGATGGAGGTTTTTGCTGAAAATCAAATAATCTTGTTATCTGAGTGCTAGTATTGAATTGTTTCCAAAGCAGTGCTTGGACGTGGGCCAGGCATAACAAAAGGAGCTGCTTTTAGTTCAATAGCAGAGAATTCAGTCCCTTCCCGCTTTCAGCTTGTTTCTGGTTTGTCTGGATGTGAATAAAATTTGGGCTAGAAACGAGAGGTTCAGTGTCAGCTTTCCATTCAAAAATAAAAATAAATCTTATCATTCTTCCCATTTTGCCAACCAGGAATAAGATGCAAAGTTTTTGGGGATCTGTAGTCTCATACTGTATGTGGAAGGGAACTTTCTGCAAGTGCAGGTGAAATGCTGATCATATTATTTTCTCTTTTTCACCAGACTCCATTGTGATTGGATTTTGGGTTGGTCTTGCAGTTTTTGTCATCTTCATGTTCTTTGTCCTGACTCTGCTGACGAAGACTGGAGCGCCACATCAAGAGTGAGTCCAAAAACTGGAATAACAAATAGCCTTAGTGGCCTGTGTGGTGTCCTGAAGCCCATGAACGCCCAATGACAGTGCTGATGTTGCACTGGTTCAACTTATTTTTTTGTACTCCATTCTTAGGAAAGGCTGTTGGGTATCTAAAATATTTCTTTTGTTCCAAGTGTTTGAAAAAGGCAGAAGTATTGACAGGGTAGATACAAATTAAATACAATGCAGGTACTGACTTAAGAATGTTGAAGCGTGGAGGGTTTTTACATGTTTGCATGTAAGTCCAAAACGTAGATGTTGGTAATATTTGCAAGATCTTCTCTTAACCCTGTAGCTCACCGAGCCTCCAGGTGTCTTAGTTTCTGCTGAAAAATTGCAGTGGATGGGGAAGTCCCGATCAGCTCCTTACTTCTTAGCACTAGAGTCCTCTTAATCACAAAGGAAGCCTTTCTCCACCTCCTTCTGGCTGATCTGTATGTGCACACCATGCCTTGGCTTAACCACTTATCTGCAAATCTGACACTTAATGCAGTTGTGCAGCACGCAGGCTATCAGTGTCCCTCTGAGAAAGTCTGAGCCCGCATCTCCTCCCACGTTTGCTTGTCATCAAGAAGAAATCAACAGGCTCTCTGGAGGGTGAGAAGGATCACAGGCGGGTAGCAGTGATGAGGAGCTGATTGTGAAAGGCAATTGTCTGCTGTTACTGCTTCCTGACGCAGCCTGCCTGTCTCTGCCTCCGAGGGCCCTGTGCTGGTTACTCGTGTGAAGGCTGCATCTGACAGCTTGTAATAGCTTCTCTCCAGAGGCAGGCGTGTGTTAGGGAGGACCTGAGGGTACGGTGAGCTCCTGGCTCTGCTCCTGTGTTTTTGCTTCTCTGAGAAGGAAGCAGGCAGAAGAATTCAGCTTCCCGGAACTGACTTGCTGAATTTCATAGCTGGGATTTTTGCCTCCCTTACGTATCGTCAAAACAAAACAAACAAAAAAGCCACGCTCTGCTCCCAAATATATTTAAAATCTCTGCAAATACTGGTGTGTTGTCTCTTTTCCCTGGGGATCTTTTTTCTTTGCTTAGCATCCAGCTCTGTACATATGTGAATAATACAAAGTGGGGGAGGAAGTGATGAAGTCAAATACATGACAATGAGAATTTTACATGGGTATTTGTCAAAATGTTTGTGTGCTTGTAAAAGCGTACATTGAAGTAGCAGAGGGCTGCTTGATATATCCCACTGCATTTCTGCTTTCTTCATCAATATTCTTGGAACAGGCTGTCTAGAGAGTTTGTGAAACCTCTGTCTTTGGTCAACTTCCATGTCCAGATAAGGCCTCGAGCAACCTGACCTGAATTCACGGTTTGTCTTGCCTTGATGAGGGCATTGGACTAGGGACCTTGAGGGGTCTCCTCCATCCTAAATCTCAATATATTATTTTTCTTCAGTGAGCTGTGTGCTTGTATATTTGTCCACTTATTTCATATGCTGAGTTGGTGCCTTTAACAAATCTATGCTTATTTTTTGAGATCTGATAACTTACCATGTACAGTACTGGAAAAACAACATCCAGAGATACACTAAGGGCAGCGAATACTATTAATGTATCTTATTTTTGCTGCGTATATATAAAAACTGGAGAACATAAATACCTACTTGCAAAAACAGTGTAGACTGTGGATTTATTTTGCCTGCATTTTGTCTTTACAGCTCACTGGATTCTTCATGACTCATAGTTTCATTAGTGGGCTGTCTTACAGCCGTCCTTTAGAAATAGATGTTAATGGGATCCCTAGGTCTTGGGAGAAAGCCATCCTGGTTGATGGACGTGTCTCTGACTTCAGGAAGTCATTCTGGCTGTTCTTTAAAGTACCATTAACGCAAGAGAGAAGTGTAACTGGGTTCAGATGGATGGATCCAAAGTAGAATGCTCTGATTTTTCTAGTAATATGCTTTTCTTGGCTCAATATAAAGGGGTATGATAGCATGTTCTTTTTAAAACTGTACAAGATGTTCAGGTTTGGGTACATCCTCAGCCCAAGAGGAGAGGTTCAGGACATGGATGAGGAGGCAGAAATGCAATTAGTAAAGGAAATGATACCTCTTGCACTTTTCTTTTGTTCACTTGTATTAGTAGGTGTAGAACATCAGCTTGTCCAAAAAGAGATCAATTATTTTTTCCATATTTCTGCCTGAAATTTTCTGAAACTTCTGCCTTACTCTTCTTCATCACTCAGAGGACACTATCCTGTGTTTCTTCATGCTTTTTAAAAAAGGCCTTAAAACATGTTTATCTAACAAACGTGCAAGTCTGCTCATGTAACCAGTCTGGCCCTTGTAATTACAAGGCTTCATGGAGGTATCGAGGCAGGTTGTACAATTAGTTGCAGTGAGGGTGAGATGACTTTTTTTGTTTCCCAAGAAATGAATTGTTTTTGGGCAAGGTTTCTGGGGGGGAATCCACTCAGAGAAATACCAATTCACTGAACCAAAAACATCTGTAGATGTTTTTGTACATTTGCTGAAAACTTAGGAAAGTTTTTCAGATTCAGGGCAGCGTTTCTAAGATTGATACTAAGGAGCTGCTTAGATTCCACAAGGTCATTTTGGGCTGCCCAACCCTGCTTGTTTTGGAGGATTGGCTACTTATCCTTTCCATGGTGCTGGGAGAAGTGTTGCTTAAGCTACAGAGGAATCTGAAGTGACAGTCCTAAGTTAGTGGAAGGGTATACTGCAAACCAGTCTGTACCCTGACGGTACACTTGAATTTGTTGGGCAGAGGCCAGAGCTCAGTGCTGCAACCAGAACCCAGTACCACTGGCCAGAAAAATCCCAGAAGGGAGCCTAGTTTCCCTGCATTAGTTCCCTGGTGACTACTTGTTTGAGTGGTTTTCTTTAAGTGTGATGCTCGAGGTGTCTGGTGTTCTCTATCCTGCTCTTAATGGCAGCTTCTGGGACTCAGAATCCTCTTGGCCCAAATACAGTGATAGGAGTAGGTTGTGGTCTCTGCCATGGCTCTCCAAATAAGGAACTGGGATTTCTGAAACTGCTTCTCTTGTTTTATCAGTCTTCTGGAAAGATGTACACTGAGGCATGCTTGGATACTGTTGTGGGCAAGACTATATAAAAGTTTTTAGTCTAGTTTAAAAGTCTTCCCCAAAATACAGCAAGGTAGTGTTCATGAATTTCAGAATCTGACAATGAGTGTATGATAGATCATGTGCTCCCTGTTCAGAACAGGATCGTTCTCTGTAATAAGTCCTCAAAAACTTGGCTGTTGTAAAATTTCTCTGCATCTTCTATTCCTCCATTTAGATTAGGTTGCTGTTGCCAGTCCTGGGTTCCCTTCTTTGCATTAAGCCTTTGCTCCTTCATACCTTGCTGGGTTATAAAGGACTTTCCACACCTATAAGCTGGTTTTGCTTCTCTAGTGGATACATTTTAAAACTGGATTCCTAGGCTTACAATGTTTATTCTTAATGTGCTTGCCAGCTCCACTCTGTGCCACAAAACCATACAGGAACTCATTTTGCAAAACCCTGTACGCAGCTCAGTGGGTGCTTTCAGCTGCATTACAACTATGTTAATGTCAGTCACCTGTTCTGAAGGTTATCGTGGCATTATTCCAGTCTGTTTCGATCAATAATCCTTGTGGGTCTCTTCTGACTCAGGATATTTGGTGATTGGGTGTTTGCCTCCTGTTGTGTATCCAGTAGATCATCATTTAGCTAATCCTGTGTCTTGCATCTGTTTAAACATCAAGCTTCTGCATGCTTCACTTTGCAATGCAGAATGAGCCAATATTGTTTTGACAAACTAGAGGACTGGTTTGATTTGAAGGCCAGCGTAACTGACTTTGTTAGGCTCTAATTCTTGTATAATGTCATAAAAGTCAATTAGCACTTGGAAAACGGGGATTTCTAGGATTAACTGTTGTCTGGGTCGAGCTTTTCTCACCTTCAGCTGTTTGTGGCTCCTGCACAGATCTGTGTAGACTGGAGCTGTTCTGAGCTAACACTTACACAAAGCTCCAAGAGAAATGTCAAGATGTCTTTCCTTCCTGGGCTACGTTTCTGATTCTTTAAGCCTTCCAGTCTTTATAGTAGTCTGTTTAAATTTGGAAATCCGAATGACATTGACCGAGGTCAGTACAAATGATGGTTTGATGTCTGGACAACCAACCACCCAATTACTCCTTTAGTGATAGCAGCGTTACCTAATGTCTCTCAAAGGTTTTCACTATTAAAGATTTTTCTCAAAGCATTCTATGAAACTTTTTTTTTTTTAACTTGCTACTGCTTGTTAGCTACCTAAGGGGAAATTCTGTAGGCTCATTCAGTGAGCTGAACTGGTTATTAAAGTATACTGCTTGCTAGAAGTGCCATTAAAGAGCATGGGTATTGATAACTTACTCCCATGGAAAATTACCACTACAAATCAAGACTTGAAATAGCTTCAGCAGAAAATAAATAGTGCTGGCCTTTTAAGTCCCTTGTAGATAAGCTATAGGGTTTCCTTTCTTCCTGATTGTAATGGCTGCTGAATCTTGATTTGATGGTGAGAATACCAATAATTCTACTTTCGTGCTCTCACTTGTTTTTTTTCTTATTTTCCCTAGCAATGCAGAACCTTCTGAAAAAAGATTCCGGATGAATAGCTTTGTGGCAGATTTTGGAAGACCTTTAGAATCGGAGAGAGTCTTTTCTCGTCAGATAGCTGAAGAATCCCGGTCACTTTTCCATTTCTGCATTAATGAAGTGGAACGCTTAGACAAAGCAAAACCAAATCAGAAAGGTCCAGGTCTGGAAAGTAATATCCACTTTCAGGAAGTTCCCAGGAGCAGTGGAACATTTGAGGAGGACCTGAATTGTCTCACAAAATTTAATATTCCTAACTTTGTGAACACTGAGCAGAACTCTTCGCTAGGTGAGGATGATCTCCTTATCTCAGAGCCACCTATCATTTTAGAAAGCAAATCGGTCATGCAATCTTCCCATCGGATCCTTGACTGAAAATTTTTACTTTAAGGTAAAAATAAAAAATAAATCTGGTGTTGTCCAGTTGGAAGCCCTTCTCATCCTTCTGTTTTTTTTTTTTTTTTCGGAAGAAGGTATTTCAGGTCCCTGTTTTTTTTTTTTTTCTCTTTAAAATTGTATGCAAGAGTGGCTGTGCTGACAGAACAGTTTAGATGAGAAGTAAAACACTGAATGCCTTACTCCAATGCCTTCTGTCATCTAGGCCTTTTGTCCAGTGTTGGGTTTGCTCCCTGTTGGTTTTGTTTGTTTTTTGTTCAGTTTGGTTTTAAATGACTGTTTATGTCCAACTTCTGAAGATACCATGACTTGTGGGGACTGTGAAGACCAGAACCTGGCTCTGGGAGGTGTATGAGAACTCCTCAGCCAAGGAAAGTGTGAACTCAAACTACAGCTGAAGCAAGGAATAAGCAGGCAGCCGCTGGGGAGATTCTGCAGCTTCTGCCGCTCCCCAAAAGGACTTCTGAAGCAGCAGCACGATGGATACCTGCATGGCATTAATTTGTACTTCTAATGCCTAACTGCTTTTAGGTGCAGGTGAGACCCATTTTACAAGCTTCCAGAGGGAATACCTTGTATATTAAATGGTTCTGTTACTGTGTTTACAAACTGCTGCCACCACCTGCTGCCTGGTAGAAGCAAATTGGTGCCTGTAGTTATGGTACCTCAGAGCTACATTCTGTCAGCCCTGGAATTAGTATCCAACACACATTAATTTGGTTTTTGTTGTTGATATGAACTGCCAGTTGGGTAATGCAGAATTCAGTAGCTAGATCACAGGAAATCAGATGAAAAATATTCTTCTTTTGCCAACAGAGTTAATATACCACTACTACTTTGTATGTAATTCATGCTTTGCTTATCAGTTGAACCTTCCTATGCTTTTAAGCTCTAGAAACTGCCCTTTTTTGACCAGACAGCGAGTGAAGGGCTTAGGAGGCTTTGAGTTGTTCTGAGGGGGGCCAGCTCCAGAAGCATAGCTGAGCTGTACTTGCTTCATCTTTCTGTACTTGGTTGGGATGGTGGTGTAACCACAACTATTCCCCAGTAAGGGTTTGTTAAGAAAACAAGTAGGTGTAATTTCAATCTTTGTTTCATTTTTAGAAAAGAATTAAGGTTCTGAACCTCAGTTTTTTTTTTTGTTTGTCAGCTTTCTTGAAGAGATGGTTAGCTAGTGACTGAATGGTTTTAGAGCAAGCGTGTGGAGGGCAGAAGAACCAGGTTTGCTGGATTTTGAGTTAACAGTGCTTTGTAGGAAGCTCTTCATGTGTATCAAAGTAGGGGGCTCAAGATCCCAGCTTAACTGGATTATTTTTTCTTTTGAAAGTAACCTGCTTTGTATATAACATGGTTTTGTCCAAATGAACATGTAGCAGTGGCCTGCTGATATAATCTTCTGAGATGCAAATTCGGATGAATTCATTCTTTTCCTTTCAAATGACAAATAGAGGGGAAAAAAGCAATGAATGGGTTATGCATTTAAAGAATATAGGAAGTGGAAGAAACCTCTCTCTTCATCTCCCTTGCCTTTACTGCAAACCACTGACACCTACATTTCCTGATTTCAAATGTAATTTCTTGCACCTTTTCCTTGCACATTAAGTAGGGGTTAAAAGCATGGGCTATTTCAAACTGGCAGATTATTGTTGGAAATACTTCCCAGGAAAAGCCTGAAGTGAAGTCTGTATTAAATGAGTACAGCTGTGTAGATTGCCACAGAGGTGTCTCGTATCTTACAGTGCAGGAACGGCCTCCTTTCACTGTAAGTACTTAACCATGAGCACAGAGGCTGTAGCTTTTGTGGGCTTCCATTTCTTTTTTTTCCTTCCCAGATTAGTTCCTGTCCCTTTCCTTAGCGTTGGTACTGCATGTGTCCAGAAAGCATCAGGAACTGGAAGTGTCTCTGTCAATACATTTTTTGACAGCACAAATAGACAAAAATCTATGTAGCTGTCTCTCACAGCTGTTCTTAAATAAGTGTTCTCCAGCGACATCAGAAAGTTTGCAGAGTATAGTTCTTTCAATCCCACATTTTAAAATACAGTTTTAGAATGGACTAAAACTTACATTGTAGCCTGTATGCGTGTAAACATGCCTTGCCAAAATCACCTTAGCTAGGGCAATCAACCGTCTTGCTCTGCAGAAAAAACCTAGGTGGTTCCAGAGTGTAATTCCTCTTTGCTCAACTGTTCAAGCTGAGTGGAAAAGGGTGTGCTCTGAATGTGGTAGCTGCTTCCTGCTGAGGGAGCTCAGGCATCTCACCTGTCTAATGGGAAGTTTTTGTCTGAGCTCAAGCTCGAATGTGATAGAATAGTGGTCTTGCTAGCAAGCTCTGCTGCTTCTAAATGGGGCTTTTATAACTTTTTTTTCTGGACGAGTGAGCTGCTTGCAGTGAAATTTGATCTTTTCTTCCCCCCTTTGCCAATCTTGGAAACAAATTGCTGCTTAAGTGGGGAAAACCTGTGCAAAAGAAATTATCCATCTATTCTGCTATTGAGAAAGGAAGCTTATTTTGAAAGCTAGATACCAAAATCATGAAGGCTGGGCTCTAGAAAAAGAAAAGCTTGCTATTCACTGTGGTCTAAGCTTTTCTTCCCCCACCTTAAATCTTCAAGCTTTTTGTTTAGGAGCATAATTGCTGCTTTTGGGGAGACGGGAAAAGTGTTCATGTGTATTGAAGATGGTGACACTTAATTCCTAGATGACAGGCATTTAATAAAATGACCAAGGGCTAATACCAACTGGGCATGCTACACATTTGAATTGTATTCTTAGTGTCCTTTGGAAGCATGTATTAATCCTGTAAGAGTAATTAAACATTTTGATCCTGCTTCTGTTCTTCATTGTGTCTCCTTTGTGTTTTTACCATGCCCTTCAAGCTCCTTTTGACAGGTAAACAACCATACAGCCTGCACTTTGTGCAGCTCTGATGTGGCTTGAGAAACACAATGGCAACCATGCGGTTCAGCCTTGTGCTGTGCTTGTGCATTAGAACAGTCAAAGGCAAATACAGAAACTTTCTGTGGTCTTCAAAAGCAATTATTTTAAAACTGGTCTTATTTTCTTTTTCTTTCTTAAGAACTACTAGACATGATGATTTGTCTCATGAGAAAAGGGACTGGTATAATAATCAAGTTTATATGTTTTTTTTTTTGTTTGTTTGTTTGTTTGTTTTTTTTTAAAGAAAAGTGCATTCTTCCCCAGCAAGCCAGCATCAGGCAAAGTAAATGAAAAGTGTTTTGACCAGGGTAATTGTTCAAAAGGAATACTTGGAATTTAATGGTCTTCCCATCTTCATGTCTGAAAATGGAATTATTGAAAGCTTTCTAACTGCTTGGGCTGACCATTTTATAGCCTATTCTCAAAATTTACTCTAAGTACAGCGCCTGTGATAGACTTAACTTCACGGGGATAATTGCGTATGTCTGTTAGCCTAAGTATGTATTGTGTAACAATTTTTACTATGGCACGTTATGTATTCCAGTTTTCAAAGGTAAATATTTGTTTCTGTGTATAAAGAAGTTTTAATTATGTACCTTTAAAAAAAAATAACAGTGAAATCATGAGACATCTGCTGATAGAGAAAAGAAAGGGGAAGGTAAAACCATGAATTTCTCTACTGAAATCTAATGATGTACCCTCTGTGAGGCTAAAAGGCAAAGTAAGTGATGTGAACATCTGTCTTCAATGCCGATGATGGGCTTCGGGACCCAGGGTGCCCCGAGCTGGAGGACCGGGACGGTGGCTATGACAAACTCCCAACCGACCCTGAACGTGTGCGGGATCTGCTACTCCACCTGGATCCCTACAAGTCCATGGGTCCGTATGGGATTCATCCCCGGGTGCTGAAGGAGCTGGCGGACGTCATCGCGGAACCTCTCTCAATTATTTTTCAACGATCCTGGGAGTCTGGAGAGGTCCCGGTAGACTGGAAGCTGGCAAATGTTGTGCCGATTTTCAAGAAGGGTCAGAAAGAAGACCCTAGCAATTACAGGCCTGTCAGTCTCACATCAGTGCCTGGTAAAATCATGGAGAAGATGGTTCTCGAACGTATTGAGGCGCACCTGGGGGACAAAGCAGTCATTGGTCCCAGCCAGCATGGGTTTGTGAAGGGTAGGTCCTGCCTAACTAACCTGATTTCCTTTTATGATAAGATCACCCGTATGGTGGACCAAGGGAAACCAGCTGATGTGATTTTTTTGGACTTCAGCAAGGCTTTTGACACGGTTTCCCATAGGATCCTACTGGACAAAATGTCCACCATACAGCTAAATAAAAACATCATACGATGGGTGAGCAATTGGCTAACGGGCAGGGCCCAAAGGGTTATGGTGAATGGGGCTGCGTCAGGCTGGCGGGCGGTCACCAGTGGGGTCCCTCAAGGCTCCATTTTAGGGCCGGTACTTTTCAATATTTTTATAAATGATCTGGATGTAGGAATAGAAGGCATTTTGAGCAAGTTTGCTGATGACACCAAACTTGGAGGAGTTGTGGACTCGAATGAGGGTGGAAAGGCCTTGCAGAGGGATCTGGATAGGTTGGAGAGCTGGGCGATCACCAACCGCATGAAGTTCAATAAGAGCAAGTGCCGGGTCCTGCACCTGGGACGGGGAAACCCTGGCTGCACGTACAGACTGGGCGATGAGACGCTGGAGAGCAGCCTAGAAGAGAGGGATCTGGGGGTCGTGGTAGACAGCAAGTTGAATATGAGCCAGCAGTGTGCCCAGGCAGCCAGGAGGGCCAACCGTGTCCTGGGGTGCATCAAGCACGGCATCGCTAGTAGGTCAAGGGAGGTGATTGTCCCGCTCTACTCTGCGCTGGTGCGGCCTCACCTCGAGTACTGTGTGCAGTTCTGGGCACCACAGTATAAAAAGGACATGAAACTGTTGGAGAGTGTCCAGAGGAGGGCTACGAAGATGGTGAAAGGCCTGGAGGGGAAGATGTATGAGGAACGGCTGAGGGCACCGGGCCTGTTCAGCCTGGAGAAGAGGAGGCTGAGGGGAGACCTCATCGCAGTCTACAACTTCCTCGTAAGGGGGTGTCGAGAGGCAGGAGACCTTTTCTCCATTAACACCAGCGACAGGACCCGCGGGAACGGAGTTAAGCTGAGGCAGGGGAAGTTTAGGCTGGACATCAGGAAGGGGTTCTTCACAGAGAGAGTGGTTGCACACTGGAACAGGCTCCCCAGGGAAGTGGTCACTGCACCGAGCCTGACTGAATTTAAGAAGAGATTGGACTGTGCACTTAGTCACATGGTCTGAACTTGGGTAGACCTGTGCGGTGTCAAGAGTTGGACTTGATGATCCTTAAGGGTCCCTTCCAACTCAGGATATTCTATGATTCTATGATTCTGTGATTTAAAATATTTAGCATTTATACATCTGAGCTGCAGCTCCTGAATTCTTTAATACTGACGTTTTTGTCATTCTGTGAGGAAAAGAACCCCATACAACCATTGACAAGCCCGTGGCAAAGAAGGAATTAAACTGTGCTCTTCTGTCCTTCTGGCAATGACAGGTGATAAAGCCAGGTCACCTGGAGCCATGGTGATCCCTGAAGTCATGCTATAGCCTCAGGGACTGAGAGCCAAGGACAGCACACAGCCTTTCACCATGCATTATTCCAGCAAGAGTTGGAGGCCTGTGCTCTCTTGATTAGGAATACAGTTAACAGCATGTAAAGCTAAACATTACGATTCACATTTAACAGATAACTGTTCAGAGTCCAGGCAGAATTGGAGTAAAGCAAAACTTGAATATTTAGTGGTAATGGGAGTCTGGTTTTCATTCTTTTTCCAGTATAGGTTAAAGATGAGAGAGGGGCAGAGTTGAAAATGTATTATGTACTATCAGATAAAGTCTTCATCCATGACAATAACCTATTTAATTTGTTACATGAGTAATTTTGGTGTGTTTTGGAGAACTTGAAAGAGAACAGCGCTTGTGTGTCTGCCACCTCTGCTGTGACTCTTCTGCACATGCTGTTCTCCTTTATCAAACCAGCTGTCTTATCTATAATCTAGGTCACTGAGTCACCAAAGCCAGCTGCCTGCTTGATTTCCTCATGGTAAATGCCTTACAAATTTAAAGATAAGCTTCAGTGAATGCACAACTACATAAACACCTAAGAGAACCTAGTATAAATCATGTTCTGTCTGTAAAGGTAAAAATTGGCTGAAGGAGAACTTAATGTGAAATTTAGTTCAAACAGTATAAAAGACACAGCATTTGCTGGGATTCCAACACAAGAATTTTAAAAGATACGTGAATGAACTGCACACATGCTGAAGATAATTCTCTCAACAGCCTGGAGATTGTATTTTTGAGAAATTATTGGAAGCAACAGTTGGAAGAACAAGTTTCCAGCAACTAGGATGCCTGTGCCTATACGGTGCAAGTGGTACTATTTTGAGCTTTATGCACTGTTGCATGCTTGTATAAGCCAAAATGCGTGCTTACCACTGGTCCCTAATGAAGTGTGACATATAAATATTTACACACAGCTCTGAACAATTTCATTTTTGATTTGAAGCTTAGCTTCATAAGGTAAAATCAATGACACAAAATACAGTGTAGAATGAACACAATTACAGAAGAGGACCTCAGGTGTACATTCTAGCTTTTAGCTTGTCTTTGCTCTAAGTATCATTGATTGAGCTCGAACCTCAGAGTATGTCCTATGTAATTCTTAAGGCGTTAAGAATTGTCACATTGTCAGACTAGTAATTGACTGATTTTGTTGTTCAAAAACCTATTCTTCCAGCTACTAAATATCTACCTTCAATTTTCTTTACTATATTTTCATTTTCTTCTACTTTTTCTACCCTCTTACCAAGATAAGAGTTTGTTTTTTTCCAGATGACAGCTGTAACAGCTGTTTTCTTCCTCCCTTCCCATTTCCTGCTGGAGCAGGGCAGCCCACGTTACATAACAGTGATGCAGCAGGAAGGCCTCCTACACTAGCCCCTATTTTACAGGGGGTAAGTATGCTTAGGTGGGTGCACGTCAACAGGATAGGAGGTGTGGTGGTATCTGTAACAATCAGCTTCTTACCTGCTGTGTTGTCTACCACTTCAGCAGAATGGCAATGGAAAGTGACTGCCCTGCTCCTCAAGCATTTAAAAACTTGAAAGGGATCTTAAAGAAATCAGAAAGTTTTATAGATTAAAGGGGGAGAAGCAAAATGGTGGAAGAGAAGTCCATGCTCTACTGTATGGTAACTACTGGTAACACTATACAGTAAAAATACAGGCATTAAGGATATTCAGGAATGTTCAATTGCATCTGAAAAGGTCAATATGGAATTTTTCAATAGAATAACCTCAAAGTTCCTCACATTTAAAAAAAATAGTGCATGAACTTTATTACTAACAAAATATGACATACACTTGGATTGCAGTGTAGCTTAATGCTCTCCCTTTGAAGCAGCAAGATTTCAGATCAGATCAATGTAATACAATGCACAAGCATTACATCAATGATTTCCCATAACATTTCCTACATATATATGTAACTGAACACTGCAAGGTGATTACACAAGCAGAATTTTATCCGATCATGTCTTCCAACAGTTATCTGTTATGCTGAATCCACTGGAATTAGGTGCTGGAATAACAACGCCTTGTTTCTGCAGTTCTCGTAAAACATCTAAAATTGAATCCAATTCCACTCGAAATTTCTCTAGTTCTTGATTCTTCCGTTGTGCAAGTTTTCTCCACTTCTCAGCCTCATGGGTTTGCCTTGCTTCAGTAATGTGTTGTGTTGCCTGCAAATTACAAGCAAGTCAGCATTGTGATTTTCTAGTCAAATACTCAGTTACCACTGCTCCTTT